ACAGACGAAACGGGAACATTTGGAGTTGTTCCGGGGAAAAACATGAAGACTAAAAAGTCAGATCTTGCAAGTCCAATAAATTCCACTCTACAAGACCAAATTGTGCGTTCTCTACTTCATTTGAAAGCTCTCTTCAATACCAATTCGCACAAATGTGACGTTGGAGCAGAAAGTTATGAGCAAATCTGTCAAGCATGTTCGAGTTGAAGAATCGACACGGACCGTGTTGCATTCGACACGGTCGTGTTGTGTCCGTGCTGAAAAAAGTGAAGTTTTGCTCAGTGAATTGACACGGACCATGTTGTCATTCGACACGGCCGTGTTGATTCAAACTCGCCCATGTTCAACCTATGTCTAAAGTGTAGATTTTTAACAGAGAATTGACACCTAGATTTGCGTTATCATATAGCTTCTTCAAAATTCTTAGGTTCACAGTCCGCAAAAAGACATAAAAGAGTAAGATCATCTTGCCTCTCAGTTGCCTCATATAGATCTTCAATGCTTCGAAATCGAGGCATTCTTTCACTTGAGCTTCCGTCCGATAATGATGGCCATAATGGATCTTGTGGCGTTGTGGGTTCTTCACTCTCATTCTCCGTTTGTTCTTCTATGTAGGGAAGGAATGTATAGTCTTCATTGAGAGTGTTCCAGTCCCACTCCCTATCTTCATCAAAATCCACATCACGACTCACAATGGTTTTTCCAGTATTTGGGTTATGCAACTTGTATCCTTTTGAGTTTTGATCATAACCGATGAATAAGTATTTTTCACTTTTATCATCAAGCTTTGATCTCTTCTCATCATGCATACGTGCATAGGCAATACTCCCAAATACTCGGAGGTATGACACCCCTAGTTTTCTTCCGCTCCAAGCTTCTTAGGGTGTTAATCCCATTACGCTTCTGGATGGAGATATATTTGATAAATAAACCATCATAGCCAAACTTCTGTCCAGAATTCCTTTGACATGTTCTTCGTCTTCAGCATGCTTCGTGCCATGTTAAGGATGGTCTTGTTCATCCTTTCAGCGATTCTATTTTGTTGTGGCATTCCAAGACATGTCAGTGAGCGTCTAATACCATGGTATGCACAAAAATCATTGAATTCATTGGAAGTGAACTCTCCACCTCGATCGGACCTTAACTCTTTGATTTTACAGCCACTCTGATCTCTTCACCATCGTCTTGAAATTCTTGAAATTTGTAAATGCCTTTGACTTTTGCTCCAAAAAATACACCAAAATTTTTCTACTGAAATCATCGATAAAGAGAATGAAGTACCTTTTCTTTCCAAATGAAGATGGATTTATTGGTTCACAAACATCTGTGTGCACGAGTTGAAGGGGCTCTGGATTTATCTGGGTATTTGAAGGGAATTCCTGGGATCTTTACAGCAAATCTAATTCCTATGAGATCGATTCTAGGGTTTGCGCAGCGGATATAAAACAAAATTTCTATAAACAATAAATCCATGCATGTATGAATTGTAGAAACGTTAGAACACTTACCTCAATCGATCCAGGGCCTGTTTCAATTAGTGTGTTCGTCCGATCACTGAAGGGAGGAAGATTACCTCGCCCTCTACACATATCCACATGACGGAAAGGATTCCAACGACTTGAAACTTGTCTGTTAAGACTAAAAAACACGTTCTCCAATGCTCAGGCTTTCAGGGATCTATGTCAGGGTTTTCGGATCTCCAAAACCTCTCAAAAGGTCTGAGAATTCATCCTCTTAAGCTTAGGAGGCGTGCCCCAAGTATATGTTACATAAAAACCCTAATTAGAGTAAGATAAGGAATTCCCGACGTCTGGACCGATCGGTCGAGACCATTGGACCGGTCGGTCTGGACTTCGTGCCTCCGGGAATTTCTTGTCTTTTCTCGCGCATTTGTCATTTCCTATGTTTGTGACCCTGTAGGCTCATTCGAGATAGTAGTATAATCCAAAATTTCCATCTCGGGTATACAAGTCATAGGCGGTCTCTAGCAAGACACTATGATTACCTAGCTCGAATAGAGTTTGTTCGTGATCTTACGAACATCAGTGATGATTCTAGTTAATGATACTTTTGTATCACGATATCATATGTCGAACATAAGGCATGGAAAAGCCACAAATTACGATATCAAACACGCGCTAGCTGACTCTTGACATCTCCGTCTTCACCATGGCTTTCACCGTCTTGTACTTTTTAGTACGCGCTAGCTCCTGAAACATGGTCTTGAGCTGTTCGATCATATCAAACACGTCTTCCCCTCAAACTGCATTTGCAGATTGGGTGCCATGCTTCCCAACATGAGACAAGAAATCTCGTTGTCGTCCATTTGATGCTTCAACCAAGCATCCTTGACTGCCCTTGTTGCATTGGCCGCAGGCTCTAGAGGTAGAGCCCATTCCAGGACGTATGACTTCTTGTCGTGCTTGAGAAAAATTCTCAAATTACGATACCAGTCCAAGAAGTTTGTCCCGGTCAACTTATCCTTCTCAAGGATAGATCGCATAGTCAAACTCGGTACATTACCGGTCGACGCCATGTCCTAGAGAAAAAGACAAAACACAACGAACAAAACAAAATGCAGATTCTATCAATAATCCACTACCAGCTAGTCCATCACCAATCAATGACAACATAGATGCATATACGAGCTATACTCCCATAAAGAAAAATAACCCTATAATAATTTTCTATATGGGACTAAGATTCATATTTCACATAAGAATGAGTTGTTACACTCAACCTTATGCTATTTAGGTAGACATCTAATGTCAATCACATCCAATGTGACTCTTAGATCTTTTATGAGACTATGATATCGAATATCATTGCATATTCGTCTCATCTGTACCGTTAAATCACAAGTCAAACTTGACGACTTAACCTAAGCTAAACCATATTCAAGCTGTGGGAACCACGATTTCCCACCTTGCGTGATATGCACCTCGTTCACCTAAGGGCTTCTCGGTGAACTATGGGGAAAGAAAAGAGACTTTGTTTTGGGATTTTTCGTGGGATAATGACTCAAACCTGAGGTTCTGGTCCTAGGACACTCACTCTAAGATTTAGGGTCGAAAATTACAGAAGAAATGAAGAGAAAACAGATAGTATGCTCTCGGACACACCAAGAGAAGGTCGGACACACCAAGCAATGTAAACCTCGGACAAACCAAGAGAATTCAAGAAAATACTTAGATTTTTTATTCAAAGATGATTCTCAAGCTTACAATTTCGTGCTCTAATATAGTAAAAAGAAGAAGATTGCAAAAAGGAAAGAAAATAACTCAGCAACATGAAAAATGGAAAAAGATAAAAAATGGAAATTGTCTCTAGCTAGAAAAGGAAACTTCGAGATTGTTTCTTGCTGAATCACCAATGGCTAGGAGTGAATTTGGCAAGAAGGAGATCTGATTTTCCAAGTCATTTGCTAGCTCACGAATCTTCCTTATTTGTGTTGATGATGAGGCTTGAAATCTTGGCTAATTCCCTTATTTGTTGTTGCAGATTGATGATGTGTCTTTGAGGTGGAAATTTGCCTAAATTTGAAGCCTCTTCTTCATGTAGAGACTTGTCCTGGTCCAGATTTTCCAAGTCTCCAAGGAACAAATTCAGCTCATATTCTCGGTCAATGCAAGACCGAGAATCATCCACGCCTTCTTGCTTGTTTCGTCCTTCTTGTTCGTGTTTTGCTCGATCCAATTGCCCATGAGACTCCTCACTTTGGCCTACCATGCTCGTGTCTTAGACCGTGTGAAGGGTGGTTCCGGCATAGGTGGAAAGATGGCCTCGGTGTTGTTGGTTTCTTCTTCCGAGCTCGCCTCCTCCTCCATGCACTCCTTGCTCTCATCCAATCCATTGTGCTCATCCATGTCCATGGTTAGATCGATGACCTCATCATTCCCTCCCCGTTGGACGGGTTTTGCCCTCAAAACGGATTCACCTACATCAAACGGAAGTAGATCAGTTACATTGAAAGTAGAAGACACGTTATACTCACCGGGTAACTCCAAGCGGTAGGCGTTGTCATTGATCTTCTCGCTGATCCGGAAAGGTCCATCTCCTCTCGGTGCTAGCTTTGAGCTCCTCTTGCGTGGAAATCTCTCGGGCCTAAGGTGCAGCCATGCCCAATCTCCAACTTCAAAAGTGATCTTCTTGCGTCCCTTGTTGGCTTGACGTGCGTATTGCTCCGTTCTCCGCATCACATTGTCTCGAACCTTTGCATGGAGCTTCTTGATCAGATCAGCCTTCTTCTCTCCATCAAGGTTGGTTACTTCGCTGCTTGGAATAGGTGCTAAGTCCAATGGCGTGAGAGGATTGAAACCGTAGACCACTTCAAAAGGTGAATGCCGTGTTGTGGAGTGTGTTGCTCGGTTGTATGCGAACACCACATGTGGAATGCAATCGAGCCAATTCTTCAAGTTTCTCCCAATGGTGGCTCGGAGTAGGGCAACCAATGTGCGGTTCACCACCTCGGTTTGGCCATCGGTTTGTGGATGGCATGTGGTAGAGAACACAAGTTTCATCCCAAGCTTCCTCCAAAGGGTCTTCCAAAAGTAGCTCAGGAACTTGGTGTCACGATCGGAAACAATGCTCCGGGGTAATCCATGAAGGCGGACAACCTCTTTGAAGAACAAGTCTGCTACATGTGAAGCATCATCCGATTTAGCACATGGAATGAAGTGCGCCATCTTCGAAAATCTGTCAACCACAACAAAAATCGAGTCTTTGTTCCGGATTCAAGGGAGTCCAAGAACAAAGTCCATCAAAATATCAGTCCAAGGTGATAAAGGAATGGGAAGAGGAAGATACAAACCGTGCGGGTGCGTCTTAGATTTGGCTTGATGACATGTAATGCATCTAGCGACAAATCTTTCGACATCCCGTTTGAGATGCGGCCAAAAGAAGTGCTCCTTGACGATTGCAAGCGTCTTTTCCATGCCAAAATGTCCCATGAGAGCTCTACTATGCGCCTCTTGTAAGATAAGCTCCCGCATTGAGCACTTTTAGAATGATCCATGAGCTCCCTTAGCGCACTCCTCGTAGATATCTCCGAAATCGGAATCATCACGGTACAGCCCCTTGATGTGTTCAAATCCAAGCATCTTAGCCTCCATGATCGAAATCAAAGCATGCCGCCTTGACAACGCATCGGCCACCACATTGTCTTTTCCCTTTTTGTACTTGATCACGTAGGGAAATGTCTCGACATACTCCAACCACTTAGCATGCCTCCTTTTGAGCGTAGATTGGCCTTTGAGATGCTTCAACGTCTCATGGTCGGTGTGAATGATGAACTCCTTCGCCAAGAGATAGTGCTGCCATGTTTGTAAGGCACGAACCAAGGCATAGAGCTCCTTGTCGTAGGTAGGATAGTTGAGCGTTGCGCCACTCAATTTCTCGCTAAAGAACGCCACGGGTCGTTTCTCCTGCATCAAAACAGCCCCAATACCAATTCCGGACGCATCACATTCAATTTCGAATACCTTATCAAAGTCGGGAAGGACTAAGACGGGTGCACTCGTGAGCTTGTCCTTCAAGGTATCGAAAGCCTTCTCTTGTTCTTCTCCCCATTCGAATGCTTTATCCTTCTTGATGATGGATGTGAGGGGGGCTGCAAGAGTGCTAAAATCACGAACGAATCGTCGGTAGAAGCTAGCTAGGCCATGAAAGCTTCTAACATGTCCGACGGTGGTAGGGGTTGGCCATTCCCGAATAGCCTTGATCTTCTCCTCGTCTACGCTTAATCCCTGCGAGCTTACAACAAAACCTAGAAAAACAACTTCATTAGTGCAGAAAGTGCACTTCTTGAGATTGGCATAAAGCTTCTCCCTTCGGAGAGTCTCCATTACAAGCTCAAGATGTGTCACATGCTCGGATAAACACTTGCTATAGACGAGAATATCATCAAAATAAACAACCACAAATTTACCGATAAAGGCGCGAAGTACGTGGTTCATAAGTCTCATGAAGGTGCTAGGAGCGTTGGTGAGTCCGAAAGGCATGACAAGCCATTCGTACAGCCCATGTTTCGTCTTGAATGCGGTCTTCCACTCGTCTCCTTCTCGAATGCGGACTTGATGATAACCACTCTTCAAGTCAACTTTTGAAAAGAGGGTTGCTCCGCTTAACTCATCCAACATATCATCGAGTCGTGGCATTGGATGGCGATATTTGATTGTGATGTTGTTTATCGCTCTACAATCCACGCACATACGCCATGTCCCATCCTTCTTTGGCACGAGTAGAACGGGCACTACACAAGGACTTAAGCTTTCACGTATATAACCCTTAGATAATAAATCTTGTACCTGCGTTTGGAGTTCCTTAGCCTCCTCGGGGTTCATACGGTAAGCGGGACGGTTTGAAAGTGGTGCTCCCGGCACAAGATCGATTTGGTGTTCGATCCCGCGAATTGGCGGTAATCCCGCAGGTGGTTCCTCGGGGAAAACGTCTTGAAAATGCTCTAGGAGTTTCTTAATTTCTGGGGGATACACAATCTGATTCGAACCTGCGCTCAACACTTCCTTGTACAACATTAGTAAAACCAAACGTTCATCTAGTAGAGCTTTACTTACCGTGCTTGGTTTCATGTAGAAGTTCGGCTTTTTGTTGTTGTCTCCTTCTTTGGAGAGTTTAACTTGCATCTCGTGAACCTGTGACGGACTAAGAGGAGCCAACGATATCTTACGCTTGTTGAATATAAAAGAGTAGTGGTTGGTCCTACCGTCGTGTTTCACCTCTCGGTCAAATTTCCAAGGGCGTCCAAGGAGTATGTGCCCCGCTTGCATTGGCACAACATCGCACATCACCTCGTCTTGGTAACGTCCAATGCTAAATGACACTTTGACCCGCCCATTTACCTTGAGTTCTCCTTGGTTGTTGAGCCATTGAAGCTTATACGGGTGTGGATGTTTCTCGGTCTCCAATCCCAGCTTCTTAACCATGTATGCACTTGCAACGTTAGTACATGAACCACTATCAATGATTAGGCCACATACCTTGTTTCTAATAGTGCATCGACTGTGGAAGATTGTTTCTCTTTGGGCGGTTTCTTCCGGATTTGTCATCGTGCTCAAAACTCGCCTTGTGACCAAGAGTTCTCCACTGTCCGGATACTCTATGTTCTCCTCAGTATCAGCAACCTCCTCTTCGTCCAGGGATTCATAATCTCCCGTATCCGTAAGGATCATGACACGATTGTTTGGACAGTCCTTTGCATAATGTCCTCGTCCCCTACACTTGTAGCAAACAATCTCACGTGAACGTAATTCAACGGGAGTTGATTTATTACCTTTAAGGCCTGATCCCGAAGATGTTGCTATGCCTTTCCCTTTGTCATGGATATTTGCCTCGGATTGGGTTGATTTGGTTGTTGTAACAGTTCCGGACTTGTTCTCACTGCGTGTATACGATTGGTTCGAAGAGTTTGTTCTTGCTCGATTAAAACGAGCTTGCTTCTTGGCGATTTGCTGCTCGATTTGGATTGAGATATGGATAAGTTCCTGCAAATCATGGTAAGCTAAACGTTCTACCTTTCGAGCAATTCGCTCCTGCAATCCATCCACAAATTGTGCCATAATCGCTTCTTCGCTTTCATCTAACTCCAATCGGTTTCGTAGGTGCTCGAACTCCTCATAGTATTCTTCAACGGTTCTAGTTCCCTGCACCAAGTTACGATATTTGCGTTGCAAGTCACGATGAAAATGGGGAGGTACATACCTCTTACGCATCATGAACTTCATCTCTCTCCATGTTGTGACAGGTTCGTATTGTGCTCTACGCCTCTCGGCTATTTCTCGATCCCACCATGCTAAGGCGTTGTCGGTGAGTTCTGCCGCTGCGTATCTAACCTTTCTCTGATCCGAATACTCATAACATTCGAAAATATTGTCCATCCGCCTCTCCCAATCGAGATAGGCATCCGGATTAATTCTACCCGCGAATGTAGGCATTGAAAGTTTTGGATCATTACCTCGTTGGACTTGTGGTGCTTGCACGTAGTCCTCTTCCTCATCCGAATCAATCTGATGTCGATGAGCACGAGCTGCCCTACGCCTTGGAGGAAGGTTTTGTGGTGCATCATCTCAATCCCTTTGCGGTTCTTCTTCTTGTCTTTGAAAGTTAAATCGAATTGGTTCGGGACGACACGGAATCTGTTCTAAACGTGTTAAACGTTCTTGGATTTGTTGCAACGCTTGAAGGATGGTTTGGTTGCTACTTTCTCCATCTCCCGACATGACTCTTTTTGGCTTTTCTTAAAGTGATTATCAAACCAAATTTGGCTTTTCTTAAAAAGTGATTATCAAACCAAAATTCAAAGCAAAACAGAAAGTAAAAGTTGAAAGGAATGAGATGAATCGGACTTACCTCTTCGCCGAAGCAGATTCTTTTTGGTGTTTTCGGTTTTTTTTCTTCAAAACAAAAGCATAAAACGAAACAAATACGAAACAAATATGCAGAAGTGAATCCTTACCTCGTTGGTCCTTGAACCGGGCTCTGGATACCAAAATGATATGCACCTCGTTCACCTAAAGGCTTCTCGGTGAACTATGGGGAAAGAAAAGGGACTTTGTTTTGGGATTTTTCGTGGGATAATGACTCAAACCTGAGGTTCTGGTCCTAGGACACTCACTCTAAGATTTAGGGTCGAAAATTACAGAAGAAATGAAGAGAAAACATATAGTATGCTCTCGGACACACCAAGAGAAGCTCGGACACACCAAGCAATGTAAACCTCGGACAAACCAAGAGAATTCAAGAAAATACTTAGATTTTTGATTCAAAGATGATTCTCAAGCTTACAATTTCGTGCTCTAATATAGTAGAAAGAAGAAGATTGCAAAAAGGGAAGAAAATAACTCAGCAACATGAAAAATGGAAAAAGATAAAAAATGGAAATTGTCTCTAGCTAGAAAATGAAACTTCGAGATTGTTTCTTGCTGAATCACCAATGGCTAGGAGTGAATTTGGCAAGAAGGAGATCTGATTTTCCAAGTCATTTGCTAGCTCACGAATCTTCCTTATTTGTGTTGATGATAAGGCTTGAAATCTTGGCTAATTCTCTTATTTGTTGTTGCAGATTGATGATGTGTCTTTGAGGTGGAAATTTGCCTAAATTTGAAGCCTCTTCTTCATGTAGAGACTTGTCCTTGTATAGATGAAGTGCTGGTCCAGATTTTCCAAGTCTCCAAGGAACAAATTCAGCTCATATTCTCGGTCAATGCAAGACCGAGAATCATCCACGCCTTCTTGCTTGTTTCGTCCTTCTTGTTCGTGTTTTGCTCGTTCCAATTGCCCATGAGACTCCTCACTTTGGCCTGCCATGCTCGTGTCTTAGACCGTGTGAGGGGTGGTTCCGACATAGGTGGAAAGATGGCCTCAGTGTTGTTGGTTTCTTCTTCCGAGCTCGCCTCCTCCTCCATGCACTCCTTGCTCTCATCCAATCCATTGTGCTCATCCATGTCCATGGTTAGATCGATGACCTCATCATTGCGTCACAAAGATAATCCAGCACGCTCAGCTTTGGATGACCCATGATACGGATGATCGATGCATTGACAAGTGCTCTAGTAATGGAAGGTACTAGCTTAGCATTACATAAAAGGGATTTTTAAACCACACTTAGATCAAACATCTACTTTCAAGCGATGAGAACCACCATTTCTCCATCTTGCCTCACCAAGATAGCACGGCACACCCAGCTTTGGCATAACCCATGACACGTACGATCGATGCTTTGATAAGTGCTTTACTCGTAGAGCTCCTAGTTCTAACCGATTTAGGTGCAACGATTGTACCATTCGAATCAAGGATAAACTATTGTTCCTTGATCAGATGTATTACATAATCCGAATAGACCATCCATTCGGCTATGTAATCCCAATCCCAAAGCTCTCACTCAATCAAACAAATCTAATATCTTGATTAAGTTACATGTATTCATTCACTATGGACCATTCATAAGATTGAATCATGTTATTCTGAATCACAGTTGATCGGATTAAGCAATTATTGCTCAAATCAGATCGCGAAACGAAGAATAAAAAATTTCGATTTCATCCGGGATATGGACCGGTCGGTTTATGAATCTGGACCGGTCGGTCCACACGAATCTCGGTCTGATTGGTCCGGACTGGTCAGACTTCCAGTTCTTCGGTCTCGGACCATGACCTAGACGATCGGTCCACACATGCAGACCGGTCGGTCCAGACCTTATGGTCCAAAGAGGGAAGAGCATCGATGAAACCCTAGACAGATCGGTCCAGAGGACTAGACCGATCGGTCTAGGCGAAACGTGATCAGATCACATTTTTCGTTGTTTCGACCCCGATTCAGACCCGAATTCCACCCGGTTTTTGCCTGTGAACTCAAACACGAACCTCTTACACACCAACAGAGAACAGAAATCTACTCTAGATTCACAATCTATTAATGCATAGCATCAAAAGCAAATATGAATTCAAACTGTTCAAATTCTATAACGTGCGTGATTGGGTTCTACGAAATCATACAAAGCAACCAAATTCTATAACGTGCGTGATTGGATTCTAGGGTTTGCGCAACGGATATAAAACAAAATTTCTATAAACCCTAAAACCATGCATGTATGAATCGTAGAAACGTTAGAACACTTACCTCAATCGATCCGGGACCTGTTTCAATTAGTGTGTTCGTTCGATCACTGAAGGGAGGAAGATTACCTCGCCCTCTACACGTATCCACACGACGGAAAGGATTCCAACGGCTTGGAACTTGTCTGCTAGGACTGAAAAACACGTTCTCCAATGTGGCAGGGTTTCAGGGATCTATATCAGGGTTTTCGGATCTCCAAAAGGATCTATATCAGGGTTTTCGGATCTCCAAAACCTCTCAAAAGGTCTGAGAATTCATCTCTTAGGCTTAGGAGATGTGCCCCAAGTATATGTTACATAAAAATCTTAATTAGAGTAAGATAAAGAATTCTCGATGCCTAGACCGATAGGTCTGGCACTTTTTCAGACCGAGCAACCTTTGCTCGTCACCTTTAGACCGATCGGTCCATGCACCTGGACCGGTCGGTCTGGGCAAGCCTGGACCGATAGGTCCAGACCATTGGACCAGTCGGTCTGGACTCCGTGCCTCCGGGAATTTCTTGTCTTTTCTCACGCATTTGTCCTTTCCTATGTGTGTGACCCTGTAGGCTTATTCGAGATAGCAGTATAACCCGAAATCTCCATCTCGGGTATACAAGTCATAGGCGGTCTCTAACAAGAACTATGACTACCAAGCTCGAATAGAGTTTGTTCGTGATCTTACGAACGTCAGTCATGATTCCGGTTGATGATCCTTTTGTATCACGATATCATATGTCGAACAAAAGGCATAGAAAAACCACCTTATCTGATTTGACTGCTTTCTCGTTCATAGAGTTCGACTGTATGAAATAGACGACGCTCGTCTATAGTGTGGGCCACATTCCTACAATCTCGCTCACACGAGGGGCCCAATGATATCTCTCTCTTTTACGAGAGGTACAAATCCCATCTTGACTATCTACAATCCAGCACATGATTCGTGTCGTACCTGATATACACCTTTATAGTCCTCCTGTTACGCATGACGTTTGACGTATTCAAAGTACGCAACTCCTCATGTTGGATTCCAGTAGACATCTCATGTCATAGGATCCAATCATGGAACCGTCACATGAGATTCAAGTCATGACGCTAGTCTATGTGACAATCTCATGCGGTCATTCCAGTATTCCATTCTCCAACGAATACCTATGATTGTGATTGTATCCAATACTCATGATCATCTTTATGATCATCTATCACACATTATACTAGTCTTAGTACATCATTGTTCACACAATGATATATGACTAGGAAGTTTAGAATTGTTCATAACAATACATGGATTTCATAACATATTAAAATATGCATAACATGTAATGAATCAAACACTCATCCATATGACCAAAGTAAGTGTCAATATATCAAATATATCAAAATAAAGCTCATATAGCAGTACATCATAGAGTACTAAACCAACAGTATTGTCTGTATCCTTCTCTCCATTTTTGATTGCGAGCAACAAGGTTGGTTCCTCCGTTCCATGTTCACCCTTGATGAGATTGATCATTTCTTCGTTCCTTTTGTCATCAAGGAATTCCCTAGCAAAATGTACCATTTTATGACAACTGTAGCATTCAATATTTGTTTTGTCATACCTCATTTCATATGTATTTGTGTAGAAGCCTCTTCCTTTTTTTTCCCTCTTGGTACACCACGACCTCTGAATGATAGTTGGTTATTTATTTCGTAACTCGGATTGTCTCCATTTCCTCTTCCTCTTCCATATTGGCCATATCCACGTCCTCTCCCTCGGTCACGTCCGCGTCCTCGAAAATTTTGATCTTTATTTTTTGTCATCATTCTTCAAAACAACCTTTGCTTGAAGAATCTCTTCCTGTTCTTCCTTGTCTTCTATTTAATTTCTTTTCATGTGCTATCAAATTTTCTTCCAATTGTTCTATTGTCATCAAGTCTACATCTTTATACTCTTCTATAGCACACACCTTGTGATCAAACTTTGGTATTAAAAATCGGAGGATCTTTTCCACCACAGAAGTATCTTCTATTTTACCCCCATAAATCTTCAGTTGATTTACGATTGACTTCATCCTTGAACAGTAATCCAAAATGATTCGGATTCTTTCATCGTTAATGCTTCAAAATCGGTTTTTAATGAATTTTATCTCTCCCTTTTTACTTTCTCTACGCCTTGAAAAGATTTTTCTAAAATCTTCCATATCTCATTTGACATAGCGGCATGAGAGACTTTGTCGAGCAACTCGTCATTCCAATATTGATGAATGAGAGTGAGAGCATGCTTATCCTTCTTCTTTGACTTGGAAAAAGCCTTCATTTGGGGTTGCGATAAAGACTCCTCATCTTCGGGTTTCTCGTACCCTTTCTTCACAATATCCCAAACTTTGTTGTAGTCGAGCAAAGCCTTCATTCGTAAACACCATTTTTCATAGTTCGTCTTTGTTAGACGGGGATATTGAAAGCTCGTTGTTGCCATTACTTCTCACAACTCTCTTTAATCCCTCAAGATTTTTCGAAAATTTAAAGAACCGGACTCTGATACCACTTTGTTGGATTAGGGAGGAGGATTTTTCGGATTAAGAAAGAGGATTATTTAGTATTTAGGATTTTGGAAGAGATTAGAAAATATTTGGAAGAAGAAAGAATTTGAAGATTTTGGAAGAGAAAATATTTTTCTTAATTTCTCTCTTTGTTTTTCTCTTCAAATTTAATTGATTTCAAACACCTATATTTATACTATAAACTCACACCTATCTGCATATCTAACTCACTTATTAAACACATTTTCACCTAATTTTCTTCCACATATTTCTAACTACCTCACCAAACTACAATTTCATCACATTTTCACAAACCTTACATATTAATCACATTTCATACACCTTTCATATTAATTATATTTTTCATAATCATACCAAAATATTTATTTAATTAATTTTCTAAAATCAAGTTTAGTTTTTCAACAGACCTTGGAGTCAGACTGTCTATGAGCATCATACTAAGTTTGGTCTGGCAGATTTCCAAGTCTATTTAAGTTTAAAACTTGTCAAAAACTTAATTAGTACACCCCAAAGTTCTGGCAAAACGTTTGAAATCCATCCTGCAGGTGTAGATACGTGTAGAGGACTGTAACTTCAGTCTTAGGTTATTAAAATAGGCCCTAGAACGTTCTATTTGAAGATAACATCGGATTCGAGAGAAGTATTATATACTCATGGTGATATATACGTTCTTTCGGGTTTTGCATCTTTGGTTTTGTGATCAAGTTTCAAATTCTTCTTCCGCTGCGTGAAACCTAGAAACCAACCCTAGATCGATGTGATTGCATAAGGAACCCATAACGAAATCCAACACAATTACCATAATACCCTTCCATCTTTCCAAAACCCTCTGACTCTCCTAGAGACTTCGAAAGTCTCTCCTTCATCTAGAGGTTTTTTCAGAAAACTCCAACAAAAACTACGGTGTATAGACTTCAAAACTGATTTATTCTAAATAGGTTTTTGGTGCGTTCATCAAAGCGGTAGATAACACGAGCAATTTATGCAATGTTAGAACACATGAACAAGTAAAATTGGTTTCTTTTTGCTGTTGAAGTGAATCTTATGTTTGAATGTTAGGCGGATTCATATTAAAAAAGATTGTGAAGGGCTTGCAATGAGCCAAAAGGTGATGATGATTTGTTGATCTGTACTACGGATTCCAATTATCTTCTTTTTCTCAGCGTCGGACCATGTAATGCATTTCAATTAGGTTGCTGATCTATTGTGTCTAGGCAGCTGCGGAGACGAACTTTGGACCAAGCCAAATGGTATCATGGCAAAACATATTGTATCTTTCATGAGAGAGTTCTATGATCCTCCGAGCCAAATGGATTTGGTTACTTACTGTTAACTTTCTCAAATAAAACATTCTTACATTAACAAAATATTCATTACAACGCATACACAAATATAAGCACACATCTATTTGGCTTCTGAACCAAAATAGGATGACGGACAAAGAAATCTGCAATAATGTCTTCACCCCATAACTACATATATCTATAGTCACAATTCTAGTAACCGATAGAAACTTCTAACTTTAACTGCATCATTAAAAACTTCCAAATAACTGATCGAAAAGTGCTCTTGAGTAAGTAACCAACATTTACTTATGATTCGGGATACATTATAGAGACTATTCAGAAATGTAAAAAATGGAAAACAATATGTTTTATAATTAGATTATTTTTATGTAGGATTTTATTTAAGTATCCATGTTTTTATCAAATATTTTGTCTTTAGATCTTAGATTCGGATATTTGTGGGTATCCAAGAATTATCTCGAATACTCGATTTTCGAATATCTGACTAAGTTGCGTTCAAAGTAGGAGAATTTTTTATAAAATTGAGTTTGGATTATCTTAAAATTTCGGATATCCGATCCCTTTTCATGCCTATTTTTAAATTTAATTTTTTATTAAAACAAAATACATAATTAAAAAATTTGTATATCCTACAGAGTTTCATTATTTGGATTAGGTTCGTATAAAAAATATTTATAATTTATCGATTAATTTAATATTTGATGCGGATATATTCTGAATTTGATTTTAAAAATTTATATCAAATCAAAATTAGTTAATATATAATAACATTATATAATAATATCAAGAAAACTTTTTAGTACACATCATAAAAAATTGTTTTAGTATAATGAAAATTTGATTGATAAGCAAATTAAAATAAAAAAAAACTATGTTTTTTAGCGAAGAAGGAAAGGTATGACTTTTGATCCAATCTCGCGATATCGGGAGAGTCAATCACCCATAGATGTAAGAAAACCTGGGAATCAAATTTAGTAAGCAAATATTTGTTATTTTTTTTCTATCATTTATATTTTTAAAAATTCTACTAAATCCATTTTTATCACAATTATAATTGGGTTTGCACTCTTTTCAAATTCAAAATATTTATATTTAACGGTTATTTTTATTTTTATTTTTTTGACAAAAGTTATTTTTATATTTGGTGCAGATCTATTTTGAATTTGAAAATAGACTAAATCAAAATTATTTTAAATATAATCACAATTTAAAACAGATTAATTTAAATACAATCATATGATATATCTCTATATCGAGTTATATATTATATATCCGAAACGAAACAATGAACTCTAGTATCGTTGTTTTAGAAAATAATACGATAAACAATACGTTGTGTGGGCGCGCACAGAAACAATATAAAGTATGCTTCAAATGGGCAGACATAATTAAATTATATGCATAAAACAAAGTGTTGACTGAGAAAAACATTATAAAAAAATGCACATAGAAAAAGCTTAGTGGCATAATAAAATGCTTTATTCTGATTGGTCGAATTTCATCATTCCGCGTAAAAAGATGTTCCATTTTCGAATGTAAAACAATTATACCATGGGATTTTAACTAATACCATGCAAATATGAATCCCCGTTTTCATCCGCCCCACGTAATCGAAACTTTATGCTATAACACGTTATACATATATATATATATATATATAACCAGATTTTACTATACATTCTCATTGTTATCAAAACTAGAAAGACCGTAGAATATGTACATGATCCATGATATGGAGGTGGAGAGACCAAGATCCATAGGAGAAGAACTCACGACGCATTTTTCACACCGGAAGAAGGAAACTGCGTTTGGGGCAGCGTTTGCGTTTGCGGCTAGAAAAGGGTCGGGGACAAAAGCAAGCGAGGCTTGTGGAGAAGAAGAGGAAGAGAGTTGTTTCGTACGGACAGTAGAGTTGGGTGTGTCGGAAAGTGATTTGGTTTCAAGGAAATTGTGTTGGCTCCGATCTCAGATCATCGGCGGTGGCGGCGATGTTACGTTCAATTCGCCTTTCGGCCGGAGAAAATTGGTCTACGCCGATCACACTGCCTCCGGTCGCTGCCTCAGATATATTGAAGATTTTATCATTGATCATATTCTTCCGTTTTATGGTAATCTCTCTCTATATCTCTCTCTATATATATATATATCAATTCCCCTCTTCTTTTTTTCGGGTTAATTCCAGTCATAATTTTGATATATTTCATGTAATTAGATTCACAACTTACAGAAATCAAATTTTAACATGAAATTATTTATTTGGAAGTTTTTGATAGTTTTATACATTTTTCTATAAGTTTTTTCATATTTATCTAACATTTTATCATTGATCATGTTCTTCCATTTTGCGGTAATATATACATATATATATATATATATATATATATGATTTCCCCTCTTTCTTTTTTTCCTTATTATAATTTGGATCTTAAAGTTTGTGATATTACATGAAATGGTTAACGTTCCGATTAGTTTCAAATATTTTTTAATCATAATTTTAACATAAGGTAATGAAATTCCTAACCGTACCGATTCTTAAAAATTTTAGAACGATTTATTATTTAGAATATAATATAAATATCTTATTACATCAATATATATATATTTTGACTTTGAATCATTTGTTTAATATATTTAATTTTTTATCGTTGCACTAAAAATAAAGTATTTTTATAATTTTATTTTATCCGATTATGCATAAACTTCTACTTTTTTGGATAAAAATACAAATACCTCTCAATCCAAATAAAAGTTTTGTCCTTTTTTTCTTAGGATAATTAAAAAATAAAAAACCTTTTTTATATGCATTAATTTTTTGCATTTTTAATTTTTGGATAGGGAATACTCACACGTGTGACAATTACGTGGGACAACGAACGACCAAATTGGCCCACGAAGCTTCAAACTACATAAAACGCTGCCTCGGCGGCACTGCCCGAGACGCGCTTATCCTCTGCGGTTGCGGCGCGACCGCCGCCGTCAAACGCCTCCAAGAAACGATGGGAATCGCGGTTGCCTCCATACATCGCGACAAGCTTTTGCGTTGCGTTTCAGATGAAGAGCGTTGGGCGGTTTTCGTGGGCCCACACGAGCACCACTCCAACCTCCTCTCGTGGCGGCAGAGCCTCGCCGAGGTCTTCGAAATCGGGTTGGACAGCGACGGCGTTCTAGACATCAAATCGCTGAGAACGCAGCTAAGTGCGTTTAGGAAGAAAAACGCGTTCAGACCGCTGTTAGGGGCGTTTTCAGCGTGTAGTAACGTCACTGGCATCTGTCCCGACACAAGAGGGATCGCGAGATTGGTTCACCGATACGGAGGCTACGTCTGCTTCGATTTTGCGGCAAGGTATACACACCTTTATTAATTAATTATTAAAAATATATTTTAAGAATAATTCAGGCTTCTCTAATTATAAGTAGCATACATAAAAAAAAGAGACAAAATGATTTTAAATTTTTAAACATTGGAAAATACACTAATTATGGTTTATTAACAATTACATTTTTAAAATAATTTTTTTTAAAATAAAATTTTAAAAAATAATGAAAATCCACACGACCATTACATAGAAAATATTAACTTTTTTACCTTATAAATCATGAAACAATTCGTGTTGGGATTGGTAAAAGTTAAAAAAAACAACCAAAATGCATAAATATATAGAAAATACTATTTTTTTTAAATGATACGTTTTAGATGACTCATAAAAAAATCGTGTAAAATATTAATTAAATTCTATAGACAAACCTTCAACAAAATTATCAAATTCTTTAATTATAATTAGAAACTTCAAAAAAGAAATAGAAAATGGTGTAAAACTTTTTAACTTGGGAAAAATACATCATCTATGCTTAATCAATAAATAGAATAAATCTTATATACATATATATATATATATATATATATATATATATATATATATAGTGATAAATCATAAAACATTTCGTGTAGGAATTGACAAAAGAAGTTAAAAAATTGACTAAACCCACATGACAATTTCATAGAAAAAAATTCTGCTTTTATTTTTATAAAAAACTATATATTTTAGATAAATCGTAAACAAAATTTGTGGGGGGAAATATTGATTATATTTTTAGATAAATCTCCAATAAAGCATCAAACCTTTTTCTTTTCACTTTTTAGGCAAAATTGGTAATTATAATTTTACATATACACGTACAGTGGACCGTACGCCAAAATCGACATGAGATCGGGAGAGAGCGACGGATACGACGCCGTATTGATGAGTCCACACAAATTCTTAGGTGGACCATCTTCACCTGGCCTCCTCCTCATGAGCCATAAACTCTATCTCCTCGCAAGCTCTCCTCCTTCCACCTGCGGAGGCGGCACTGTCAACTACGTCAACGGCTTCGACGAACAGGTAATCAACCCTTTCTTGCACTGCAAGTAACGTACCTAATTCCTCCGTTACATTTCCGATCACAACTCTGATTTGACGGGTTTCGAGCATTACAGCTGACCTTGTACGTGGACGACGTAGAGGAGAGGGAAATGGCCGGCACGCCACCGATAATTCAGACAATAAGAGCCGCGTTGGCGTTCCGGGTGAAGGAGTATGTCGGGTATGAGGAGATCGAGAGAAGGGAGAGCTTCCACATTCAGACAGCTCTCGAGAGGCTGGTTCCGAACAAGAACATCGAGGTTCTTGGAAACACAAGCGCCAAGAGACAAGCCATATTGTCGTTGCTGGTTATACCGAGCGAGAATGGTAAGCCTCTTCATGGCCCTTTCGTGGCTACGCTCCTCAATGACCTGTTCGGGATTCAGGCCAGAGGCGGCTGCGCTTGTGCTGGACCTTACGGACACGTTCTTCTCGGTATCGGGAACGACCACTCTCTGGAGCTAAGATCTGCAATCCAAAAGGTAAACCTGGAAAATCAATCAACCAATCAGGAAGTGATCTTTGAATTTGTTCATTCTCTTACCGTGTGAAGAAACACAGGGCTACAGTGGAGTGAAACCGGGATGGACAAGAGTGAGTTTCCCTTATTACATGCCGAGAGAGGAGTTCGAGTTCATACTTGCATCAATGGAGTTCGTAGCTGAGTACGGACACAGGTTTCTTCCTCTCTACCACTTCAATTTCAGGACAGGCAACTGGAAAGTCGAAGCTGAATCACTTGAGGAGCTTCCTGTGAAGAACAGTGTCACCGTCTCCGGGCACGGAGCCTACGAATTCTACCTTCAAACTGCACATCGAATCGCCCGTCTTCTTCCCGATGTCATCCATTCACAACGTCCCCTTCCCGACGGCATATCTCCTTCCCTGCTCGATTTCATCATCTAGATTGATTGAAGGATCCGGGTTTCCAAAAATCTGTTTCCATTCATTTTTCTTCTTCTTCTTCTTCTTCTTACCGTTCAAAGCATTGGTTACCAAAAACTCTTTCATCTTTCAAGAATCTCTCTCTCTCCCCTGCAGTTAGAATGAAAAACAGTTGAAAGAATGGAAAGAATCAATTTCTTCTCTCTTTTTTCTTACCCAAAATTGGTTTCCATTGTATATCTTTTGTCTTCTGCCTCCATAAAGACAATCGTTCCATATATCGTGCTGTATAGAAGCATCAGACGGTTTTAATGTAAATGAAATATAATAAAAATTTTATATTATAAATTAACTAAACGAAAACATTTAATATTCAATGTTTTAAATTATCAAAAACAAAAATAAACATCCCAAAAACAACAAACCAAACCATCAGTTTTATCTTTTTTAATAACTAATATTCATCATCGTCATCATAGTATTCATCATCTTCCCAACAATCATCATCTTCGCCAATATCTTCTTCTTCTTCCTCCTCCTCCGGCAATGTCGAATCATTCTCAATACCCTTTTCTTTACTCATATGAGAATCATAGGCCTTTGTTATCCTACGGATTGGACTCCATGTGAGGCAATTGTCATCATCATTATCATCTGACGAGTCATCTTCCATTCTCCCAATTAACCATTCACTACTTTCATCAATTTCCTCCAAGAGAAGCGGATCACGTCTATATTTCCTTTTGTACCATCGTTCCACATTTCTCTTGTTCTTGTCAATCTAAAAATAATATATATATATATATATATATATAAATTAATAGTTTGTAAACAAAATCACATGTATATTATTGTAATAAAACAAAAAGAATATTAGTACTTACATGTTGAACAACATCTAAATTCTTCTCAGCAGTAGCATTATAAGTGAGGCGAAAGATTTTCAAGGCAAACTTTTGAAGACTAGGAGTCAAAGTTCCAAAAGAAGACCACCACTCCGCTATTAAAACAGAAAAATAATAAATTACATTAGTAATTTCTAAACATACAAAATATACAATTCATAATAACATATATTTTAATACCTGGAGATTGTGTGTTTCTTAATTTAGTGGCTACCGGTAGACCGAAGAGCCCGCCCGCTGATATATATGTTCTTAACTCTCTTATGATATTACCTTCCATCTCAACGGTACGAGATAACATTTCAATACATTTAAACACACTCTTCATAACCTCTTCACAAGAAGAATCTGGTTTACCGTAATTGAGACTTGGGTTTAGAAAATCAGCGGTAGCATGCAAAGATCGATGGAGTTGCATTTGGGTATCGTTTACCTCCTCCCCAATAAGCGAAACTTTCAACTCATACATGGTAGGTATCTTCAACCCCGGACCATATTGTGCGATACTTTCGCATATCTTTCCAAAACTTGGATAACTAACTGCATTGATTGGAATTCCGGCATCGCAAAAAAATCGAGCTATTGATCTATAAGTTTTTTCCCTGAGTGTCTCGTCAATAACTTTGTAGATTGCCTTTTCATCTTTCTCTGGATGAGTTCGAGGAGTGATAACCATATCCATTAGACCCTTCGTTCTTGGTTTTTTAGGAACAAACTCTTCTTCATCTTCATCTAAACCATCATCGGATTGAGATTCAATCGGAACTTTAGGCAACATTTGACTTTTAGTCTTTGAAGTCGCCTTTTTCAACATAAACTCCGATATTTCTTGTCTCACATTCTCGGGACAAGAAGGGCATTTGATCACATTCCTAAAACCCCCAACGAAGTGTTGCTTCAGTCGATGAACTCCCCCCTTGGTAACTTTACGACAGAATATGCACGTAAAATAAGTTCGGTTATTAGGATCTTTTATACCGTATTTGTATGCAGGATCTGTGGAAGTAGTCGCAGCGTTCTTTGATGTCATTATCACAATCTGCAAAACAACACTTCCACTAACACATCATTTAAACTGAAAATAAAAAATAAAAAAATAATAAAGTTATTTCTATGTCGATGAGATTGATAAAAAGAAGTGGAAGATGCACCAAAACATATATATATATATATACATATACATATACATATATATTCATGAATACCAAAACAAAACCTTGGTCTGAAATCAGATAAATTTTCAACCCGAGATTTGCCAATGCCTAAAAATTTACCCATGTAGTTTGTTTGTTTTTTTCAATATAATGTAAATCATCGTCTATGTTCAAGAAAATATCGACAATAATGGCTATACAGTTTACATGTGTGGATAGAAAAGAAACGAACAATTACAAGAGGAAGAATAACAAAAAAAAAACAGAGTAGAGGCAGACTTTTTCATGAAATCCTTGAAGAAGAAAAAAAAAACCCAGAAACAGCTTTACACAAATAATAATAATAAAAAAAAAAAGCCCAGTAGAGGATACCTTGACACGTCGTTGATCAACGGCCGTCCTGTCGATCGTCTGAGGGAGCTCTTTCTTTTTTTTCTCTTAATGAAATTAGGGTTTTTTTAAAACCTAATCTCTGTCTCCTAACTCTTCACCTTCCTTTTCTGAATAATTTTTTTTTGTTTATTTTCCCTTTTTTTAATTTTCCAATCAACGCCTCGAGGCGTGCGCCCTCTGCCTCAGACCGCTACACGACAAAAGCGCGCTTTATTCAGAGATAGAGAAGGAAGAAAAGGGGGGGGATCACAGTTAGCTGTTCATTGTCTGAAGAGCAAAATCTCATTCCAAATGAATACAATCTGGCACATGCGAAAGATGATACATAGAAGAAAACATAATCTAAACCACCGAAGATGATGTGTATAACTCACATGTTGAATCGGTCCCTGTTGACAACATAACTCTGCCTGTTGAATCTGCACTCACCAATAGTCGTTGCAGGAGCATCGCCCTTCCCTGAAGTGATGAAACCGGGAACGATCCCTGACGATCACGGCTCGGCCGTAGACGTCAGACACAAACTTGGCGAAAGTATGGCAATCGACGCACGTCCTGAGGTTCTTGGCGACCCTGATGGTCGTTCCCGGTGGGGTCATGAGAATGCTGAAGGCGATGGCTAGTTTCTCGCTGTGGTTCGACAACGCCTCTCCTTTCTCTTCCTCCGACCCTAGATTGTGCAGCTCTGATCTCACTTCAGCCGCATAACCCGCGATCCTCAGCTGCTGATTGATCTCTCGGAGCATTCCGTAAATCTCGGCCTTCCTCGGATGCGAGACATCGTCCACCACGAACTCGTGGACTGTTCCTTGCAACTCTACCGTGCTGCAGCCGGGTACGGTCTGAATTCCGTTCTCCTTCATGAAACTTCGCAGTTCGGACACTTTCTCCCATTTCCCGACCGAAGAATACATGTTGAGTAACAGAACGTAATCTCCAGCTTCTTCGGCTTTGAGTTCGATCAGATGAGAGATCACACGTTCGCCGAGTTCGACATGGCCCTGAACTCTACATGCCCCGAGCAATGTTCGCCATATGGTGGGATCCGGCTTCGTTTCCATCGACGTTACAAGATCGTAGGCCTCATCGAGCAGACGGGCACGTCCGAGAAGATCTACTATGCAACTGTAGTGATGTAGATTCGGTTTTATCCCGAATTCGCTACTCATTTGCTCGAAAAACATCTTTCCTTCCTCGACCAAACCTGAGTGGCTACAAGCCGACAGGACTCCAGTGAATGTCTGTTCATCTGGGTGGATTCCGGCCTTAACCATTTCGTCGAAAGCCTCAATGGCTTTTCTACCGAACCCGTTCATGGCTAAACCTGAGATCATAGCACTCCACGAGACGACGTTCCTCTTCTGCATTTCACTGAATACACTGTAAGCTTTATCCACACACCCACATCGAGAATACATCGAAATGAGAGAATTGCTCAGCTTCACATCATCGTTGAATCCATTGTCGTCGATGTAAGTATGAACTCGTTCCCCGAATTCCAAAGCATTGAGATTGGAGCAGGCTTGAAGAACGAGCAAGCAGGTGACACGATCCGGTGGTGTCTCACCATTCTTCATATTCTCGAACAAACCCATAACATCACGAGTCCGTTTGTTTCTCGAGTAAGATGAGATCAATACGTTCCATGAAACGGTGTCTTTGTGAGGAATTTCATCGAACACTTGGTATGCTTCGTCGCTCCTTCCACAAACGGAGTACAGATCCATCAAAGTCGTCAACAGAAGACTGTCAGACAGAAACCCATCTCTGAAGATCTTCCCATGAATCTGCAAAGCACCGAATAAGTCAGCAGATCGGACGCAGCACCCGAGGGCAAAGGTCGAGGAGAGCGGGTTCGCCGGTAAGCCCCTCCGTCTCATCACCTGGAACAAGCGAAACCCTTCCAGAGGGACTTGGCTGGCGGAGTAGCCTCTGATCATTGTGTTCCAATGGGAGGCACTGGGGTTGTTCCTCTGGGAGAAAACCCGGTGAGAGTAACCGATGTCGCGGGGAAGAAGAGAGAGTGCGAGGCGGGAGAGGAAGTGGTGGAAGACGTCGGAGTTGCGGATGAGGGAAGAGC